TTTGCGGGTGTGATTTGCCTCCCACTGAAGCACATTAAAAAAAATTGGTGCATTTTAGAGACCAACTGTAAATATTGGAATTGAAGCATGATGTAAAGCCTATCTTGTAAAACATCAACAAGTTTACGTGCGGTTCTGTAGCCAAGTGTATTAATATAGATACAATGTAATATGCACCTGTTTTGTCCATGTCTAAAAATATATTTTCTTTTATTACCAATGTTCAGGGTGAATCCTAATCGTATACATCTGTGTAAAGTTTCAAGTTTCAAATGATACTACTGGGGTATAAATTGAAACAGTATAAGAAATAATCAAAATTATATGCAGATGATATGTCTGCACCAACATCAAACGGTAACAATTTAAATGAATATTTAAACCAGTTTTAAAATATTACTCCTATAATGCTGACCAACGTTCGTTCTGAACTATATATGGGCTAGGTTATTGTATGGCACAAGAAAGGGACCTTATTGAAAATTTAATTTCGTAATTTTTTGTTATGTAATTAACAATTCCTTTTTAGATTTTGAGAATTTATTTTATTTTCCATTTTTAAACTAATCTTTTTATTTTTAAACGTTTTATTACAAACCAATTTTTAGTTAAATACAAAACCGATATAAAAATGACATTCGAATATTATCTATCATTGTAAAAAATGAGCAAGTTATTCTTTCTGTGCCACCATAACTTGATCATTTTTTAGGAGTGAACAATCAATGTGTCATTCTTCTTGAAATCTTCCTGATTTGGGTGTTTTTTGACCTCGTATTTTTTTAATCAATGAAACTTTTTTACGTTATTTATACTTGAAAGGAGGAGACCGGTATTTTTGTGTACGGCAAAAATTTTTTTCCCAAAAATTATAGGGGATGACATTTTTTCGGAAAATGGATGCGAAGTCTCGTTCAGAAATTAATATCTCTGGTCCTATCTGTTATAGAGCGATAAACCAAAACGCGTTATGAAGCTAAAAAACACGCTTTCTTGACATATTTTTCCAATGGTTATAAAATAGAACATTACTATCGTTATAAACAATTGAAAAGTTAAACAATTTTTTTGCAAATTGCATTAAATTGTTTATGCAATTCTATAACGTTTGTAATTTTTTTCGCGATGGATTTTCGACGGATTCTATAAACTATCGACATGTATCCTTATTACCTATTATATCGAAGGTATTAGAAAAGATAATAAAAGTAATACTTTAGAATTTTATAAAGTATAAGATTTTGTCTGAATGTCAATATGGCTTTAGAGAGGAAAAATCAACTGACGATGCTAAACTAATGTCGATGATATATGATTCATTGGATAAGAAAGTTCCAATTATTAGTATGTTTCTAGACCTCTCTGAGGCCTTTAATACGGTTTCCCACAAAAAACTATTACAGGAATTAGAAAAGTATGGAATCCGAGGCAAAGTGTATAATTTATTTGAAAGTTATTTGTCACAAAGAGAACAAAGCGTTCAGATAGGGACTCGTAAAAGTTGCTTACAAGAAGTGACATGTGGCGTTCCTCAGGGGACTGTGCTGGGGCCAATTCTTTTTACTTTATAAATAGTCTTTTAAAATTGGACATATCGGGTAGAATTATTAGTTTCGGTGGTTACATATACGTCTACTTCTTGCACTTGAGCAAAAAATACAAAACACTTTTCCAAAAATTTCCACATGGTTTCAATTTAATAAATTAACTTTGAATTATAAAAAAACTACATATTTGCCATTTACGTCATATTATGCAGGACTCCTGATGCTAGGTCCCTTAAACGTTGGATTGCATCTGTGTGTATCATGGACCACCTAGACTGGCTGTATCTAATTCCAATGCACGGGTACCAGCGAATGCAAATTGCTGGGAAGTGAAGTGTGTGAGGTAATCTGACTTGAAAATTAAATTTCTTCAAAGTGATTATACGTGAAAATTTTGATGGTATCCAATCCTGTTTTTTAACCTATCTGCACTTCATGTCAACATTCTTTGGAAATCTGTAAAAATTTAAATATTAGATTCGAAAAATCGAAGCAAGTATAAAAATTTGGTAATTATTTATTTTACCATAAAACTCTCATTTTTCTAATCAAATTTTGCCAACCCCCTCCCCCCTTTTGTATCGATTACAAGCTGGATACGATACACTTAAGTCGAGTGTGTTTTATGTTTATATCACGTACAAGTAACCTGTATAAGGTTACTTCTATGATCGGCTGTGTTTATTCGAATATTATATGCCTTTCTTACCTTCTTTTCTCTTTTAGTTAGGGTTTTAGCTATTTATATAGATATAAGTAACTTTAAATCAAACTAATTATTGAAATTATTGGTTGATTTAATTATTGTATTGTATTTAATATGGATATGAATAAACATTATTCTTATTATTATTAATATGTGTTTTAAATAGTGATACAATTTACTCTGTACAATATACAGGCTGTTACAAATTCGCTTCCCGCTACAGGGATCTCGGAAACGGTGGGAGATACGAACTAGCTTAAATGGGGCAAAGTTACGTAATCAGGGGGGACCAACATTACGCCTCTAAAAAATCCAGGCCAACTTGATTAGTTTCCGCAATATTTAAATAAAACCTAAATTGTGGAATTCCGATGTTGTTTCATTTCGGCCTTGTTTGAGGTGAACTTTTTGTACTCTATCGAATGGCATAATCATTTTTTATATGTATCGCTTCTCTCCAGGGATTTCGTCAAATTCATTTTTCTAAATACAGCCCTGGAAATTTTCAGAACCAGATTCAGACGTTTTGTCTCGAACATTCATCTTCAATGTATTCGTTCTTTCATGTAAATTTTTTATTTAGAATTTTATGTTCATTGAATTATCGTACACTCTAAGTGTTGTTAGACCCTGCATGCGTTTCAATAAAACATTATTAGAGTTTTAATCCCATGTTCATAGTTATTTCTAGGCTTTTCGAGTGCTCAAAATTCAAAAAAATCGATCGAATTTTTTGCAGACAAATACATCTGACATGATCTTTCCCAGTTGCGGGTACAGGTATAATAAATTCCGATCATATTACGCTTATCTTCATTTTTAACATTTGCCAAATCGGAAACGTTTTTACTGTAATTTTTTAATGTATAATAATATACATTTGACGTTTTGGTTATTTATATACATTTTTAAGAATAAATTTTTCATAATAAAATTAAAATTTTAATGATGTTTTAATTTTGACGCATCTTATCGAGTTATATATGACGTGATGGTAATAATTTAAATAACTAGGTGGATCTGACAGGATCTAACGACACTTAGAGTGTACGATAATTCAATAAACATAAAAATCGAAGAAAAATATAGATAAATCTGCATTCCGGGTATTTTTTATAAACAATAATAACAACAATGTATGCACTTTTTTTAGTTTTTTGCTTATGTCATGAAAAGTACAAAATAATTAATATTTTTAAATTTTGTAATCAAAACTATCTACGTAAAGATGCTATGTCAATATTCTTTCTATTATTATTGAGTTGAGATTATTATATTATTACTATTTTTACATTGCGCCCCTTCATGAAAATCGTTGATCCGCCGCTGAGAGGGAAGCGCGCGCCATTATTCCATGGCTAGAAATTGGCCTCAATGATTTGGGATCGAGGGGGATTATCCCTCTTTATCCTGCCTCATCTCGTGTAGGCCTGGACAGCCTTCGTAGGTGGGCCCCATCCGTCGTCTACCCCGACCGCAAATGCGGCCGGTGTAGGCGCTTTGTGGGACCTCCTTTTGTCCTGGCTGGGCCCCGCCGGCTAGGGCCCTTTCTTCTGGCGCTCTTCTTGCTTCGCCGGCTCGTCTGTGTAAACCCCGGGGGTAGTGTCATGTTTATGTGTGGTATGGTTGGGTAGGGTAGTGCGGCTATGCAGCCTGGGATGCGCTTTGCTAAGGTGGCCCTTAGGCTAGCGCGGGAGGG